ACCGAATGTCCATGCGTATTCACTCGCTACCTTGTACAATGCTAGTTGTCAGTCTTCTGAGGTACGCATCGAAGAGTCGGAGGTTCCACCGTATCACTGTCGGGTGAGCAGTGATCTTACTGTAGGCGGTAGGTAACGTCGCCGATTGCCAGCTGGTCAGCACCGTGGATCATCAACGCGTTCTACGCCGTTTACACGATCAGAAACGCTTCACTTCCACTTCAAAAACTTTAAGCAGCAGATCAAGTAATAAAATATATAACGTTGTTTCTGAACAAAGCAAGTAACAAACAAGGCAATGCAGTCAGTACGGTAAAAATAGGAACAAAACGTCATATGAGTGAATCACATCACTGAACAGCAGACTCTCGTTCTTGACCGAGTTACCAGCGGCACCGTGACGGGAAAGTTATGAGGGAAGCTGTGACGTCGTTCTATGAAGTGAGGCTTGCCGTTGGCAATTATTCCAGCAGCATGTTTATTCTTTTTCAGTTCTACCGCGTTTACCTAGCAATAGGTTATTAAAGAAGCACTTCGCTGCAATCCCATTAATATATTAGAAAACGTAACGTCATACTAACAAGCTTAACTTTGGATGTCAGATCTTCAAAATATCTGTCTAGCGATGATTGGAAAAAACAGATAGGATTATGGCAATAACAAAGAAACAAATTTTTGGAAATTCCGTGATTATGGAAGCGATGACCTTAAATTCTGTCTTTGTCCTGATGACAGGAAGCGTAGTTCAACCAAAATTGCCATCGATCCATTTTCACAGGTCCATGTACTCCCAGCTGGTGAAATACCAGCTTCAGGAGGTCGGACCTCTGGCTTTACTCCAATCAGAGAGATAATCTTAACTTTGTCAAAGGTATCGTCACTGAGTCATCGAACTTACGCGATGCCCAGTGTGCCCTTAAACGAATCCATGACGTTGCTCCAACAGTGGCACTATTAGTAAATGCAGTGAGGCGAAAATATTTTCCAACGGGACTCCGGAACAAGAGATAATCCTATCCTCCTGTGTCACTCCCCTTGGAGAAGTCATCGCCTTCAAATAACTTGGTGCCTCCATTTTCTGTAGTCCACTGTCTACAGGTGAAATTTCGGCTCAAGATTCGGATTGCAGCAGCAAGAGACCTTCTTTCATCTCTGACAACCGCTTTGGAAGCGATGGGTCTGAAAACGAAACATTGAGTTCTACAAGCCACCATCTACTCCATCTTTCCATATGGACGTCTGTCGCAGGCCATATGAGTCAAAGACGAGAGAAACTTGAATTTTTCAAATATTGGTGTCTACGAATCATCCCGCGGACGCGATTTATTGACAATACAACCAGCGCCACGATCCCGCTTGCAACATGAGCCAGCTCTCAACGGTCCTGAAAGAACGGCCAATGTGTTGGCTGAGGTACTGAGGTACGTGCTAAGACGTTCGCCGGAGGAAATGACCTCCTTTGCCCTGAACGCCATCCGGATCGGTGGATGCCATTAGAAAAGAACCAAACATTAAGACAGTGTCAGAACTGAGTTAGAAGTGGAAGAACCACTGACTGAACTTGATGGTAGACATTGCACGCTATGGATAGAGGTGAAAAGTAACGATCCGCGACGTCGCTGGAACGGGTAAAACCGGTTATGGTGACACCATAATAACAATCAAACAAGCTAAAAGGATTCCAGTCCAAAGTGTGACAATGCCCGGTTTTCAACACAGCATAAACATCTAGTTTTCAGCCTTTCTTGCAGACGTTTCCTCTGTGACTTGGCCACCAGCTCTGCGATTTGCTAGCCTTGGCGTTAAAACCCTCGTAGTTGCGATCTTTCATACTGGAAAAGAAACCGCCCATGATCGAAAGTATCTCGACCTCTCCTGTTCCGCAATTCGTTACCTCTCGCTACGTCTTTTTTTAAGAAACTTCCAACATGCTGTTCATATTGTCTATATTTAAGATCATACACCTTCAATCAATATCCAGTACTCACTACTAGACGTATGAGTTGGTGTACAGACAGACTTGAGAAGGATGGCCTCGCATGACTGTTCAGCGCCTTATTCCTCGCCAAAAAAACGGTTTACCTCCGATGATGCTTAATGCTGAATACTCAGATGAGTTGCATTCTGCTAACTCGTAAATCGCAATGAGTGACCTTTATTGTGAATGCAAAACTTTGCTGTCAAAACAAAAATTCAAAAACTCGACTTCTTATGCCCATAATCCTAGAAAAATCGCAATTCAGAAAAATGTAGAATGAAAATTAAGTTTAAAAGACATTTGTACGTAACGATTTA